CTTTGTAAAGATTTGCTCCGTGTCCATTCATTCATACTTCCCCACTTCATCTAATTACTGTGTACACTGAAAGAACTGGTCTCCTAGATATGGTAAGGTGAATTAAATTGATATATCCATAAGGAAAAGGATATAAGAATATAAGGATATGAGGATATAAGGGTATAATTTTAAATGTTTATAATACAATTAGAAATAATAGCAGCTTAGGAAAGTGGTTGTAACAGGTCCTGTTCTAGCATCTGTTACCTGAGTAGACACAGATAGTGGATGAGGTGTTTGGTACCAGGAATAAATTCTTTCCTACTCAGTAGCTTTATATCCCATCAGATGGCTGTTGTACTCTGGACATCAGTCCCAGTCACACATGTTTCAGTAGATCTTGCTATTGTGGTCATTGTTGAGGTTAGTAGACATTACAGCAGGGTATAACTATTGATTGCTTTTCTTTTTTGATAGCTTAGATAGATACTTCTGGTAGTATGAAATCTAGTCCTTAGGGAATAGGCTTCCAGTTCCATTTCTCCAAGTCCTGTGTCTGAAGTATATGGTAACATCAACAATAATGTCTTATCTTTCATTTCTCAGAGGAAACCTAGATGAATGACAGCAACTTGGATTGTTTGGGGGCACTCTCAAACTCCTTCTTCAAAATCCTGAAAGAATGATCCCCATACTTGGCACTGTGCCTTTGTCAGATAATCTATGGCTTTTCCAGGGAGCATTATCAATGTGAATTGAATAAGTTCATTTCAACTGCATATGTGTGAAAACATTTACACTTATATACACAATTTTAAATACACACAAAATATGATTTTCTATGGAATTTTCACTCATCCTTAGGCTTATTTATTCTCACTTTCTCTTCTTGCTGTTCTGCCCTTCCTCCTGCTTCCTGAGCTGAATCTCTGAGCATCTATTTTTCCATCTATCCTTTCATAGCTCCAGAGTCATACCTGTCCCATCTCCAGAGTTGATTCTTCCCCCTTCCCCATAGTCCTTGCTTACTTTTTGGTATCTGGAATTACTCCGGGTGGTACACTCAAATCTAAAGATTCAGAGCTGGGATTCACAAATAAGACAGTCCATACAGAGTTTGACTACCTGAGTCTGGGTTATCACATTCATTGTCTTTTGTAGTTTCATCTACTGACCTGTAAATTTTATTTTTATTCATATTTCAGTAGTATCCCATTGTATATTTGAACTACATTTCCATCACTCATTCATCTGTTGAAAAATATTAAAGTTTTTCCTGTCCTAGCTACTGTGAATAAATTGGTGATGAACATGGCCATGTAAATATCTGTGGAGTACGATGCCTTGATGCCTTCTGCTCTTGCTGGTTTATGTACTGTATACTTTCTAACTGCATTCTAAAAATATATCCTTATACCACATATTAAGTGTAGCTTTTTTTGCTGATTAAAGTTTATTTTTGCATCAGATAGAGAAAATTGTAGAAAGAAACTAATGGTTAAAAATATAAAGAATAATTGATCACAAAGTGCCCAGCCCCAAGTGATATACCACAGCACATCACCTACAGCTAAAGATCAGAAAACATTAAGGAAATAGGATGCATACATGTTGTAAGAGCCAGAAGACTAAACCATCTTCTCTAAGTTTTTCATTTACAAAATGGGGTAGGGAAGCCACACCCATGAAATCTCATCAATACAGATGTCTAAACAAGATCAACACAGTGGTTTTGTCAATATTGAGAAGGGAACTCTCACTTTTTGAATCAATGATCAATGAGTTCCATGTTCAGTGAGAGACTCTACTTCTAAATGTAAGATAAAATATAACTTAGGAGACACCTGAGTTCAACATCTAGCTTTCAAATGCATACACGCATACACAAACACACCACACACACACACACACATACACACACACACAAAGTAAAACTTTAAGAATACTACAAGGTCTACTTAGCTGATCACAAGTTCTGAGGTCAAAAGATCCTACTGCTATGCTTTGCTTTCCACGCAGGTGGTAGGAATAGAACTGCGGGTCCTAGCAGTAAGCACTTTACTGATTGAGCCATTCCTCCCATTTTCTCAAGTCTTGGTAATGTTTCAGGTAAAATGACAGTTGACTATTGGTAATGAAAAAGAAAGTGGGAGTTGGGAAGGCCTAAAGAAATGCTCTGTGCCTTTTCCTTGGTCATAGTAGTGTATGTTTTGGAGATTCCTAGAAACCATACATTGAACAGTTTTGCATGCATGTTTGTGTATGTATGTACGTTTGGTTTCTATATGTGTTATATTTCAATAAAAATATAATAAAAGGAGCTTTCTTTGTACTTTTTTTACTCTCTCAACACAGCGCATTATCTTCCTGCTTAGCTTCACTGCCAAATGTTTTCAAGGAATAATCAATGGCTGGTTTTTGTTGTTGTTGTTGTTGTTTGTTTGTTTTTCTTTCTACTCCTTCCCAGCCCATTACAATCTAGCTTTTGCCTTCCTGCTCTGGAATTGCTTTTTTGAAAATAACAAGTGACCTCCTAATTGCTAATTGTCTGTCTCCAGGGCACATTGTACTTGACCTCTCCAAGGCATCTGACACTGCTGACCACCTCTTATTTGTAATCCACTCTCCTCTGACCCATCCTCATTCTTTTACTTTCTCTTAGCTCATTTCAATTAAGTCTTCATTGACATCCCCAAACATTGGTGTTTTTTGGATCTTCTGGCTCTTCTGGCTGGCTATAAATCAGAACTAAAACCTTCCTGCCTAAAGATATAGTTTTCATATTTCAAAGCACGTTGTTAGTTTAGTTTAGTTCAGTTTAGTTTAATTTAGTTTAGTTTAGTTTTGTTTGGGTTTAGTTTTTAAACTACAAATTATTTTCCTATTGTGTAAAATCAGCAGATTTTACACTCATATAAATCCATGTTTCTGGCATTGAAACACTAGGAAAAATTTGATAATTTTTGAAGAAGTAACAATTTTCCAAAGTGAAATATTTGTATGTTTTTAATAGAAAACAAGTCCCACTCAGGTAAATTCACCAAACCAACTTGGAAGTCCAAAGACACTTGAGTATCTTGCCAGAAGTACAGTTCTTTAGAGCTGTGTTGCCTAGCACTATAGAAAATCATCCAGGAAACTCATCTAAACTCTTCTGCTCCACATCAGGGAAAACAATGCTACTGGAATTAGATAGGGCTAATAAGGTACATTCAAAATAGTCCATACTCTATGTAAAACAAAAGAAACCAAAGCCCAGTATGGAGATGTTGGGTTGCAATACAACCCCATCCCTAGGTACAGGTGAATGAATGGTCATTTTTTTAGTGTGAGATAGAAAGATGGTTTTAGTTGGCCATATGCCAGGAGAAGACAAACATCTGAGAATATTTAGGCAGCACAAACTATCTTGAAAATCTTTTGAAAATGAAAAACCATTTTCTTATATACAGTTCTTATATACACTGTCTATGAGAGATGCCATTTTGGAGGTCATCATCATCATTATAATTATTAATGTATGCTCTATGTGTGTGTGTGTGTTTTCCATTTAGTTAAAGTTTGACATTAATATATATAATACTGGGTAGAGTCATATCTACCTGTGACTATTAAACTGAACCACAGATAACAGTATTGTGCTACATGTGTAGGTTAGAAAGAAAATAGAGCAAATGCTTGAAAGAAACTGTAAATGGTTTTTGAAATAGAACTTAGATTTATTGGCAGTAAACTAAGAATGAAAGGACCAGAGACATGTAGTATTGAAAAAAAGATAGTGAAAGAAAGGAAAAAAAAGAAGAAAAGAAATGATGACTGAGCAAGAGAAGGCATGCTATGCTAAAAGCATGGGCTTTAGAGATTCATATATGATGAGTCAATCCATTCAGATTTGAGTTTGTGACTGTGTTGTTGAAGCTTAGCAGAATTCAGAGTGCTTAAAGTTTAGAAGATAAGCAACTACAAGCAAGTGGCACTATGTTTGAAGACACTTTTTCAAAACAAACATCAGAAACAAGTTATTTATTTTTCTTGTTTTTATACGACTTATCTCTGCTGTTGATTAATGCATTTGTACTTTTGGGGCCATAGTTGTTAAGAGTGCAATGAAAGTACTTGGTGCTACCAAAGTATAAACACTGGTTAAAAACAACAACAACAACAACAACATCAACAACCCCAAAATTTTTTAACCAAATCACATCTAGTACAAAAATAGTTCATTGATTGATGAATAGGTAAACAGTAGCAACATGTGGATGCAGTATATACCTTTTACAATATGTTTTATACATGTACGACTTACCAAAACAGATTATGAAGTAGAGTGGGGAGAAATTATCATATTGTTGTAACATGCAAGACACAAGGTGAGACTAATTAATATAAACTAATAATTAATAACACAGGAGCTGTTCATGAGCCCCCATTACATTTTGTGTAATCTTTACCACAATCTGGAAACAGATAGTGAGAAAGCAATAATAAGTGCCCTTAATATTTTAACACCTATTGTTTGTTAATTTTGATTTGAACTTAGAATGAACTTTCTCCAATAATTTTTATTAGAAAATGTAGTACAGAGAATTCAATTAGTTTTCAGGTAAAAAACAAACAAACAGAAACAGACTTTATTTTTTTAATGTTACATGCCCATTATTTACAGGATGTAGTTCCTTATTGGCATTTCTGGGCATCTCAGTTCTTCCCTTTTCTTTAGATAGGCAGTTACAACAAAATGCATGTACGACGTGCTCGTCTATGCACATGAGCTCACATATGTATATATATGTATATATATGTAGCTCTTAGAGAGTTTGGGGGAAGAAAGGGAAGGGAGAAGTTGTATAATAATATGATAACCTTGAAAAATAAAGTAAGTAGCTAATAAAGAAGAACACAATTTTAATCAGAAAAACACACCAAAATAAAATAAAATAAAATATTTTCACTTAAAAATACTGAAAGATGCTGTAAAGTTGCTTTATTTGAGCACTTGGTGTTCAAGATTCAAATTTCCTTCTCCTACACTCAGTGCAGATATGGATGCCATGTCACTTATGTGTCTGTGCGTGACAGAAAAGAGCTATGTCTATGCTCAGTGTTGTGACCTATGAAAATCTGAATAATTAGTAGCTTAATGTTCCCTGAAAAAAAAAAGCCAGCCTAAAATAATCACCAGTTTGGTGGCAAGCAGGCCCAGACTGGCTCCCAGGACAGGAAGCATGCTGTAGAATAAAAGAACCCCAAGTAGGTCCACAGGCCCTGGGTGGGAGTGAGCCTGAGACAGTTGGCCACTTAGCCAAGCTGAGTGAGGAATGAACCCAAGACAACCATAAGACTGGCACAATGGGGCCTAGATCCCTGTTCCTGAGAAGAACACTACTGCACTGGCCTGAGGTTTGGGGAGATGCAAATCATGCTCGAGAGGACCCCTTCCTGTCACTATAGTGCATGAGCAGAGTAAAGCACTCCTGATACCACTCCTATTTCACCTCCTCTTAGGATTCTATTAATGTTTCTCCAGTCATAGGAGACAGTGACTTATTGACACCTTTGTTTCTTCATTATTTCTGTTGGGATTAATTTCATTTTTTTCACCTATTTATGATACCTTGTTATTAGGATTGTGTACATGAGTGCATACTGCACTCATTACCTGTCTCATCTGAAAGAATGAGACATCTTAATTTCAGGAAGCCCAGTCCCTTAACAGAAACTTATGATAATATTTGAGGAATACATCTCTGAAGACATTTCAACACTAACTAAGCACAAACTGACATTCTTGAAAAAAAAATCTGTGTTAATAGAATTTTAGTTCAGACTTTGGTTGACTAGAGAGTGATACTTCTATTGCAAAAATAATTTAGAAAACTCTCCTCAGTGTGGACAACTAGCCAGAATTCTTATTTTTTCCACTATGTTTAGGGTTAGGAGGCTGTATAGATGGATGTTAAGGGTCACTCTAGGTTTTCTTGTGGGTAAATTTCTTGTGAGTGAAGTTTCCTACTACTCACTTATTATCAGCATACAGATCTTCTTCCCAAAGTCACTTGCCAACTCTTAAGACTGAACTGGGTACCCTATCACTCCACTGAAACTCTGGAGAGATGAGCTTAGATTTTCTGAAACAGATGATTGGTCTCTTCAAACTTAACCTGTTTGTAAACAGAAGCTATTGAGTAGATTGGTGAATTGAAGCCAAAAAAATGCTGAAAAGACCACAACAGATCTCGCTTAATAGGATTATTCCGGGGGGAGGCGGGGAGGGGAGAGAGAGAGAGAGAGAGAGAGAGAGAGAGAGAGAGAGAGAGAGAGAGAGAGAGAGAAGGCCCTGATGTCTGAGACATTTGAAGGAGCATAGCACATGTACATAAAGAAAATCCACAATTTTAGTGACTGTGAAAATGTGTTACTTTTGGAGGCTAGTAATGACAATGGTGGCTGGTACTAGGTAACAGGTAGCTGGTTCTTGGTTTACCAACAGAAGCTAATAGTGCAGCCTGCCCCACAGACATGTAGTGAGAATTAAAAGATAATAAAAATAAAAGAAACACAGTCACGGTCTCAAGACCAAGTCTGAGAAATGGAGATAGAAGTTCTCTTAATACCCTTACCTTTCCATTTACTCCTCTGCCATCATTGCCCATGGGAGTAGACTGTAACTACTAGGGGTTTCTATACTATAACACTATGGCTAATTCAGATGTGCAGATGTGTTATTCATGCAATGAAATTTTCTCAGTGCCAAACTCACTAATCCCACAAGAATGCAAGCCAGATAAGAAGCCAGGTGCTCCTCCAAAGCAACATTTCTGACCAAGTGTCAGTGGTTACTGTGAGTATAAGAGTATAAGGCGTGTGTGTGTGTGTGTGTGTGTGTGTGTGTGTGTGTGTTACTTACTTCTTGATCCTCCTTTGGGAAATATTTATTCTCCCTGCCAAGGTTACCAAGGTTAATAACTCCATGATAATTAGAAACTATCCAGGAGTGAGGGTATGTCTATGTCTCAGCAAAATGGTAAATGCTGGGATCTGACAGCTGTTAAAGATATTCAAAAGAACTCTGAAAACATGAGTTCAAAAATGTATAACTTCTCAAATATTAAAAATATAAGGATGGAATATGAAATGTACAAGGAGCGTAACAGATCAAAAAGAACAGAGGCAGCTATGAACCAGAAAGATACTAGGGAAGGAGATAAAGAGATTTAGGGAAAGGTACCACCTGGCTAAGGTTTTGTATGTGCTTACAGTGGCAGGAAGACTCCTTGATTCCAGGTCAGCCTGAGACAGAGGGCGTTCTGGTTCAGGCCCAGGCATGGTAGGAATGGTAATTTTAGGTCAGGACTGGGTTCCAGCCAGCTATCTTATTGTCTGTGTTTATCAAAGGCTGGCAAATCCTGAATATTTTTTCATTGTTGAAAAAATGTGCTGCTGTCTCTAAGAATAAAGGGGCTAGGGTAGTGGGATCCTGATTCATGGGAATGCAGGACAATGACTGAATTGATATGTAATTAAAAGACCATGCTTTTGCTCTGCAAGGAATGAACTATCCAGAGAGCTTTTAGAATAGCAAAAGAAACTGTCTTAAGCAGAACATACAGAAAACAATCTGGAAAGCTGTTGAGCAGAACATAGGCTGTCAGCTTGTAAACCAGGAGTTGACTTTATGGTATTTGTTTCACTTCTCTCAGACTCCCCCATCTCAGGAATCTTAAGTTTAACAGTATACTAAGTGAAGGGCTCTAACAGGCCTAAGCATGACAATTGAGGTGCCAGAACACCTTGCCCTCTCCTCTTTCCTCTCTCATGTTAAATCATTAGATTCCCTATTTAGCCATTTTCACATTCCTAAATCTGGCCATTAAGAACTATTCCCTCACTTGGCCACTTCATGGTTTGTGACTCATTTAGAGCCTGAACTTTAAGGTTCATTCAGAACCTATCCTAGCTCTTCCTAACATGGACAGAACCTTGTCCTTTTTCTCTTTAAAAGTCACCTTTAAAATATATATATTTATTTATTTTTATTGAATATTTTATTTATTTACATTTCAGATTTTATCCCCTTTCCTCATTTCCCGCCCCCTCCAAAATTCCCTATTCAATCCTTCCTCCTCCTGCTTCTATGAGGGTGTACCCCTCCCATCCACCCACTCCCACCTCCCCACCCTCTAGTTCCCCCACACTGGGACATCCAGCCTTCATGGGACCAAGGACGTTTCTGCCCAATTCAGATTCAGCAGCCTTGCTTCTCTGTCTTGCTTAATAGAGAATATTTTTGTGTTGGAAATTAGTGTTTGGGTGTGCTCTGTGCCTAGCCAGGCGATCTGGGAGGGACCAGCCCACAGTACTTAGGTATCTTCACTTAGTTTAAAAAGGCACCATAACTCTGACAAATGTGAACTATTTCATCTGTGAAGATTAAAAAACAAAATGGCAATTCTGATATGGTTTCAGAAAGTTAAAAAAAAACCTTCAGAAAGTTCAGAAAACAAAGATGATTTTGATTTGGATAACTTTTTTGTCTCAAAATTATTTATTAAGTTAAAAAACCCTCCTTCTGAAATTAGAAAAACATAAATATCTATTGTAACTTAGGTTTTGTCACCTAAACTTTTGCTAGAGATTTATGCTTTATTAATCAAAATCCAATTTTGTCAAATATTTCAGCTTTTTCCCTGTGAATTTCACATCTTATGGCATGCATTTTAATTACTTGAGTGTAAATTGAGTGAAATTTGGAATATTTTCATCTTTATACTAATTGAACTTTGGCTGAGTATTTTCTCTATAAATCTTTACTTAAACTTAGAGTTAACAGGACAGCTCACTTCATGGAATTAAAATCTATCAGTGTCATTTCCAAAGCCAAAGAGCTAATACTTAATTTGGATTTGTTGGTTTTCTCCATACTTTAAAGTGTTTCCTTCAAGATTCTGTAATCTGTCTTTTAAAGTGTTTAATTGTATCTTTATTTCACTGATTACCATGCTTCAGAAGATTTAAAAAACACATTCACATTCATGTAATTTTGTAAAACGTGTTTTATACTTTTTCCCCTTTTTTGTTATTGTGACATATTCTCATTACTTTTCTGTTTGTTTCAAGTGTAGTAATTTTACTACTTTTGTAGATAATTCTGGCTTTCAATATCTTAGAACTCATTTTGAACTTTGGAGTTGTTTTGGAAACAGCAGTTGGTCCATTTTCAAGTCTTTTGATGGCTTGATAGGAAAACAAACTGGCCAGGGTCTGAATTTTCTGTGGGCAAATATATACTTACACTTTATAACAGTAATTCTGTCTTTGATTTATCATATTTTGTTTTTAGTGGTTAAGCTTGATATCTCTGCAATTCTATGTTGAGCTAAAGGCAAAATGGATAGTCTTCGCAACAGCTTCTCAAATGTGTTTCAAATCAGCTCGCAGCTGCACCTCTCCATTAAGCAGATCTTCCCAGTTTATATTATTTATTCAAAAGCTCATTATTTTGCATTTACCTGTAGTGAACTATATTTGCCATGCATTAGTGTAGATACTTAGATATTCTCCATTTTGATGCATTCATTAGAATGTTGCTCTATGACTTACTTTTTCTAGTCATTTAAAAATGAACAGCAAAAAGGCAGGTAAACTCTATCTGACCCGGTTTATGTTTTTAAGACAGATAAATTATGAGGAAACTTAACAGTAGAAAAAGAAATAATTATGGAGTAAACTTGCTATCTTGCCCTTAACTTTTACATGAGTTCAACTCACTGTACATAACAATAATGGGAACTACCTAGAGGGTCTGAATGGAGCTAATAAGCATGCTCACATTCCCCCACCAATGTTTCACTGCCTCTGTGCTTCAGGTAAGGCATATTGATGGGTTACAGGGAATAGCTTTACAGGTATTAGAATTTCTTAAATAATGCTAACTGGAATAGTGTGAAGAGCAATGAAAATATAATTAACTGAATAAAATACAATTATTGCACATCATATAAATGAAAAGGCATTTATGAATTTAGAATTGATAATTCTAATTTATTCAGATAAATTGGTAAATACAATAGTAGAAATCTGTACCGTAAGTACTACAATCATGGTGAATTTTTACTATTGTATTCTAGTATAACCAAGGAACTAGA